GGGGATGCAGATGACACAAGATAGATGACTTAAGGCTTTTTAGGCCCTAATAGGGATTCTGGATTATATTATGAGTAAAACAGGGACACCACAGAAGAAATGTGAGTAAAGTGACAACTGACTTTTGTTTTGAAAGAAATCTAAGTAATGAGTTCATGAAAAGACAGTAAGGGAACAAGGGCAGACGCTGTTGATATAATCCAGATGAGAAATGATTATTTATATCAGGGAGTAATTCAGAAGAGTAGAAAAAGTTGGATTCTGGAAATATTTTGCAGGTGGAGCTGGAGAGAATTTGCTGATGGTATGACTGTGGGGTAGAATGAAACCAAGGTCTCTGGTCCAACAAAAGAATTAAGTTGCCAGGTACCATCATGGGGAATATTACAGAAAGAACGGGTTTGAGGAAGGAAAATCAGAAAAGCAATTTTATACATGTTTACCTTTCTGTTAATTTGCTTTTGTCTTGACCACTACACACTGATTTTTGTACAACACAGCTGTTAAGTCGTGAAACAAAACCTGAATTCAGGTCTTTTGATTCAAGATCCTGTGCTTTTTTTCCTGAAGTTTTACAAAAGCAACCAAATGAGATTAGTTTCTCAGAATCAAATGAGGAAAATTTTAAAACATCTGACAAATATGAACAAGTACTTTTTTGATAAAATTAATAATAAAGCAGACAGCAATGATACAAAAATGCAATAAAATTCATCTAGCAAATGCTCAACTTAGATAAATATTACACAGTCTATTTTCAGGAAGATTTTCACTCCTACTTTAAAAACTCCTTGCTAATATTATTTTTGAATAGTAAAGATTTGTCATTATTTTACTCAATGCACAAGTATATAAAGAAACTTTTTAAAATCTGATGCATAAAGTAACTTTATATTGTAAAGTATAACGCATATATTTTCCTCTAATTTTCTTAGCAACAGAAGCTACATTTCAGTAAATGCTTAATTCTTGACTGAAAGTTAAATAATTATCCCATTGATTTCTCTATGCCAAACTTGTTCATTACCTACAACTTTCCGGCATCAGTAGATTTCAGAGCTTGGTTTCTAATCGCACCTTCAGTTGCTATGTAATCCTGGGTAAGTCACTTTCCAAATAAGTGATTACTTACCAAAAGTTTGCATTTTACAGGGTTGGAATAAAAATTCAGAGAGAAGGAATATGAAATATATTAAAGGTATGACAAACACAGAAATCAAGAAAATGAGCTCATTTTGGAGAGAATATACATAAATTTATATTATTCCTGTACAGGTACTCAACTTTACCATTAAAGAACTGCTTAACAGATTTCTCCAGAATAGAATGAAACTGTTGCAGAATCTGCTATTTAGAAATGCTTTTTGAAGTGTCAAGTGATGTACATTTACTGTGATCATTATAAGCACATTTAAGGGAAAGTATTTTTTCTTATTCTCAATTTTTCCTATTCTCATGAAATCTATGGCCCAGAGGAACAGAAGAGCTAAATAAAAGATAAAAACAAACACTTTGGGACAAAAAATAGAAGACATCTCGCAAAGTGGTTAATTGATCAATAGCAAAAAAATAGCACAATGACTGCTTTGAGAGTTAAAATGATTACCCTAGCTTTATGCCTTTGCTTTTGTTCACCTATATATGAATCTACTATCTACTTATGTTTCTCATTCACATAGAGCACCTTCAATTCTATCGTATGCTGTTCCCCTTTTCCGCGGGCACCTGCTCCAACAGCTCCCTGACAGCCCTATTCCTAACCAGAGCATCCATCCAGTCAACCTTTCAAATACAATAATTCTAGCTATACTAAAAGTTTCCAGTGCTCAGTAAGCCTCAGGATGCAAGACAGCCCATTTTTAAACTTTTGATTATGACATAACCCTTTATGAGATCAAACAGTCATATGGAATCTAATTGTCAAGGCAACATGACTACAACAGTGTTGGTAAGAGCCCATATTCCACTTCTCTCAATCACTACAGCCAATTACTTAAGTAAAGAGCAACGCAAAGTTGAAAACAGTCCAAAATTATTTATTATTTCTAAGTCATCTGAACATTAGCACACATTCATAATCCATCTTTTGTTACTAAATCTCAATCTCCTTCCAGCTAGCCAAATCAACAGTCAATAGTCTAAGACCCAATCAGGTAAGAGAAAGGAAGAAAACACAGAAAACCCACAAGAGTAATTCGATGGGCCAATTTCTCTCAATCACATCAGTTTTTAGAGTTGACAAACATCAACTATTATGCCCTGACTTTCTAAGATCTTGAGATAACGTAAGGAGAGTTCATACCTTAAGTTAATAAATGAATCTAGATGGTCAAATTAGAAAGGCATATCGAATATACTTAAAACTTGCAAAGTGAGAGAAGTCTGAATGAAACAACTAAATTCTAAAATCAGAAAATAAACCAAGGAGGCCAATTAGTTAAATATTTCATAATACATTCTTATGAATGAAATGAGCCAAAAGAGAAAGAAAAAAATAAAAGATTAAATACAAAATGAAAATGAAATAACACACAAAATATAATTTTATGGTTTAGCTGAAAACAGAATACCCCAATAATGCTACACCAGCCCACTATTCTCAAGAGCCCACTATTCTCTAAGAATGGTTTTCTTAAAACATAATCTAACCATAACCTTACTTGGTGATTTTTGACTGTTCCAGGAAGAAAAAAAAGAAAAAGTGGGAAAGAATGTCTCAAAGGGCTCACATAAGCTTGAAAACGACAATCTTAAACTGTATCTTAAAGAGCAGACCTTCCGCCAACATTACAGGTGTGCCAGAATACTGATCTCCCCCAACCTTTCACAAAGAGCTGCCAAGCCAGGTGCTTCCAACCTCCAACAGCCCTCACTCACCTTAGTGTGTGATTCGAAAACTATTTTCTACATGTGCCACAACCTGAAAAAAAATGGTTGGGAGGCACTAATAAAGTACACTAAAGCAGTTACAACTTCAACTTTAAAATACACATTCTCCAACAAGAAATTCAAAGTCTATCATTAGCTGATGTCATTGATCCCAAAGACACATTTATTTCATTTTTATCAGTTCAAGGAATCAAATCCTACATTTGTATAATATGTATTTTTAAAATTACAGTTTTTCTTATGGCTTAAGTAACCTCTTCAGCAGCAGTACTATCCTGGTGTGAGTAGGATAAAGAAACCTGAAAACTTTTTAGGTAAGAACATGGTCAGAGCAGCGTTCATGCATGGCACTTTTTCCTAATCGCTCTAACTGAAATCCCAAAAATATCCATTTTCCTAACCTCCTTCCACACTTTTTCTTTACAGCACTATCACCTTCTAATATAACATACAATTAACTTAAATATTTTATTCTTATCTGCTTCCCCCAACTAGACTATTATATCCAGAAAGAAAGAAGTCATGCTTCTGTTCACTGCTCTAACCCTAGTACCTAGATGGGTACCTGACAGTGAGCCCTTAAAAAAAAACTCTCAAAACTGATGAGTGAATAAACAAATGTCATAATTTGGTTGCAGTTTATGCATAATTTAATTGTTCTTAAGAAAATTAAACTTTGCTATTAAGATGGTCAGGAAAAAAATTTGTTCACCAAAGACACAGAACCACACAGATAGTGTTTCAAAAAGCTTGATTTATCTACATTAAAATATTTTTCAAGATATTACCAGAAAATGTGTATGAGACGTTTTAAAACACAGATAAAAGGAAAGATTTTAATTAAAATGAGGAACATCAGTTTTCCATTCCTCTCATCAGAAGACACAAAGGAATGAAGTGAAGTGCGGTAAGACAAAGGTAGTATTTGGGACACAGAAAAATGCAGTGTAACACTGGCAAGTATTTTTTTCAGTTGCCACGTAAAATTCAAGATTGCCAATATTAAATTCAAGATTATCAATATTAAGTTCCATACTGACTCATTTTTCTCTTTAAAAACTGAAATCTGCCTTTTCCAGACACTTGAAGCCTAAATCTAACCAGCTAATTAGTTATCCTCAGAATTTTCTTATGAAATATAATCACAAATATTGTGGATTTTAATCTTTGGTCTTAAATAGTTTTAATCTTAATACGAAGAATCTTAAATTGGTCATATAGCCCACCTACTGTTCAACTAGTGTTCCACAGTTCCTTTTTTGGCCTCGAATGACGAAACTTCCCTAATGTCTCTGGGGAGATTAGTGTAAAGTATAATGTAATGACGAAACTTCCCTAACGTCTCTGGGGAGATTAGTGTAAAGTATACTGTTTCCTGAAATTGTTCTGGTTTTTTCCCCTGCACCATTTTGTGACATTTTTTCAACTAGAAATGTTACATTTTTTTAATTCTGCAGGAAAAGTCCGGAGGGAGAAGCAAAGGTGAAAAGAATACTGTATGGAAAACAGGTTGAAAGGGGATTACACAAAAGTACAGAAGTAAATATGAAGCAAATATGTGCACGAAAAAGATGGAAAAAAAAAAAAAGAGAGAGAGATGAAAGAAAACCTCTGTTCTCTCCTAGAAAGGAGGAAAAAACCGGACGTGGGGATACGGAGACTTGCTTATTCTTCTAGAAACAAAAGCACAAAATCCTTCTAAGAAAAACGTGGTCTCTTTCTTTGAGGAAACGCTGTTAAAACTCTAAAAAGCGCCTAGCTGACACTCCGAATGAGAGTTCTACCTTCTCTTCCTAAGTGCTTTGATACAAGTATTTTTCATCTGTAAATTAAACGCAGGCTATAGATAACGCGGAGTCAGTCTACAAAACTGCAATTGTGGTTGCCATCTTTGCCAGAAAAAAAAAAACAAACTCCTTGGATTTCGGGGGGAAAAAAAGGACTGTATTAAGTTGGAAAGCCAGAAATCCATCCATTGCCAAGTCAGGTAGCTATGACACGGGTTAACAAACACCTCCTACCAAACTAAGGTTCCACTAAAGATAAGGGGCAAAGGGCTGTAGTCCGACCGCGACTGCAAGGGTGGGGCACCGGAGGAAAAAAAGATTTGAGGGCGAGCTATCCCCAGAGGTCTAAAGGGGCTGGTGACTTGGCTCTCGGGGACACTGCATATTAGGCGGCAAGTGATGGTTATGGACTAAGGGCGGCTTCGGGGAGAGTGGGACAGTGGGCCGCTGTTCGTTGGGAGTGCGGAGGCTGAGAGAGGAAGGTACCCAAGAGGCAAAGGATTGAGAGTCAAAGGAGGAGAAGCGAAGGGCCGAGCAGTCAGGGAGGCCGGGGATGGGAGGCCCGCGCCGAGGCCGCGAAGGGCCCTTGCAGCCGGCCGCCTTCTCCGGGAACGCCTTTCGTGCTCCTCTACACCGAGCCCCTCTCCGGGCCGCCCCTGCCCCGGCGACGACGGCGAGAGCAGCTGTTTCCGCCTGGCCCGGGACTGCGAAGGGAAAGGCATCCCGGGGGCGGGCGGGCAGCAGCCGTCCGTGCGAGCGGGAGCTGACTCCGAGACGACTGCCGCCGAGGCAACGCCAAACTTCGCCCTCCCCTCCCCTTAGCCTTCTTTATCCCCCAACTTCCCGGCCGCCGGGTGTCCGCTTCGACCGACCGA